GAACCCTCGTATGAGCGCTGCTTTTGCTTTTTAAATCCATTGATGCGTGCACAAATGTGTACATCTCCCGATAATAAAAAAAGAGCGTTCAGGTGTAGCACACGGTGCCTAGCTGCCATACCACCTGAAGGAAGCACGAGGGCTGGGATACTGCCAGGTTGCCCAAGCTTAGACAGGGGAAGTCGAGTGGCGGAGGTCGGATTCGAACCACGAACCTTCCGGTCAGTAAATTCGCGCTCTAACCACTTGGGCCATTTCGCCCCCATAATTCGGAAAAAAACCGCTGTTTAACGGGTGGGTGTCTCTCAGAAGGAAGCGTAATGCAGCGACAAGACGCTTAACAAATGAAAAGTCGTAGGAACAGTTTTCAGGGGCATAGCAAAACGGACATGGCGCAATAACCGTAAAGTAGCTTCGGACTGGATACCTCTGGGTCTCCCAAAAGTGTGCACAGAACTACAACAGGGATGGTATCGATCCAGTGAGTGGCGTCAAACGCACTGGTTGATCACTTCAGCTCCAAGCTGCTACAGTTTCGTTCACTGGGAATATGGAAAATAGTGAGAGCCACCCGTTGGGATTGATTGCCCAACCAAGTCATTTGTGCCAAGTGTCTGCTTGTCTGGTATTGCAGGTGGCTAGGGCAGCGCAGTAAGGGTTTCAGCCTTGATGTAGGACCGCCATTGGCGGTCGTTTGTCAGTTGCACTAACCATTGGTTTGTATCGTCCCAATTTAGTTATTTTCTTAGGGCTTTCATTCTTCACCGTCAGATACGAAGCTGGACGAAGAGGGGTCCACAAGGTAACGGGTCCTTTGACACGCTAAATACGTGGTCTAACCAGAAGAAATTTTGGTTGTGGTCAGCTAACCTTTCGCGGATAGTGAACTTTCCAAGTCCCGACCTAAAGCTGCCACCTTGACGTAGTGGTCGGGCTTGAGTGCTGCAATGATCCCGCGGGCTACACTGGCTGGAACTTCGTTCCACAAGGTACAACCATGCCAGGAAGGCCAAAGGGGAGCAGCCAGACCAAGAGCAGCGAGAACCCGTACTACGAGTAATCGTGCTACGAGGCGGTCTGGGGGTAAAGTCGTACTGTCCTCTGCGACAGGAGTGCGAAGGCAGTAAGGCGTTTCCCGCAGGCGACCAGTACGTCCATATTTATGGAAGCAGCGATGCTGCCTTCCCCTGAGGAAGGACGGGTTATAAAAGGTCGGCCCCAAAAACCGCACACTCCGATCGCCCAACGGTTGACCGTGACCGCCGGTGCATTACCCAATACGGTCGAAATACTTTTAAAACCAAAGATTCCAGTGCTGTGCGAAAGGCACCTGCTGTGCGCAGCCGCATCAGAAGTGAGAGAGTAATGACCCACTCTCTGCCCTTCGAGTTAGGCCAACTGCCTGCAGCCGAGCAGGTCAGACTATTGAGTCGTGGCAAAATGGAAAGGAGCTATGCTAGCGGCGTTCACTGCTGCCTACCCGACTTCTCCAATTCAACGACAGGACCACTGGATGTCGTCGAAGTCGGTATCCATGATTGATGCCAGGAAAGCCATACCAGCAGGCAGCGAGTACGACGGTGCACGCAAACCCCTCAAAAGCGAAATAGTGTAGATTCTAAGGAAAGACCGAGAGCTCTGGTGGACATCGGAAGCTCGAGAGATCGAGAAGGCTTTTGCCACGGGAAACAGCCGTGCCCTTTATCAACTGATACGATCGACCGGCCCTAGGAAAGCAACGGTCAGCGAAACGATAAGTGAAAAAGATGGTTCATTAATTCACTCGCAAAAATGTCGACTGGAGAGATGGGCCGAACACTTCGAAGAGCAGTTCAGCTGGCCTCCTGCAACACAGCCAGTGGAGGTAATGCATACGGGCGAATGGAATGTAAACCTTGATCGCCCTTCGGAAGTAGAAATACTGTATGAAATAGCCGTACTGAAACGTGAGAAGGCACCAGGACCGG